TAAGTTACTTGAGGTTTGAAGACTAAAAAGGAGAAAAAGGCAATATGGACCTGTTTTCTCTTATTTTTAAATATAAAAAAATAAAGAAGCGTTTTTTTTTTAACTGCTATTCAGGAATTAACTACTCTGATCAACATGTGTGAAAAACACAGCTTTATGTCTGCAGTAACATTGGCTGGAAAGGAAACATTCCTTTCTAAGTACCTGAACACCAAACCTCCTGTGTAGTCCTTCAACACACTTAAGAGGCAAAAAGATGTACCTACAGGAACCCAGAGGGAAAGTACGCAAAACACCTTAAATTAGTACTTTGAGAAAGTAACTCTCAGAATAAAAGGAGTCAAGATTCAGAAGAAATTAACAATCTGCTATGTTTTTAAGTCTTAAGCATGAGCAAGGCTCATTAAAAAAAGTACAATAGTCTTCCAAAAGCTTTGAGAAACTTTTCGCTGAACATGCCAACAGATGTTTACATCAAGTGTAAGAGTGCTTCAGTGGCAAGTGAGAGAGATACCTACTTGCCATATCATGACACGTGAGAGAAAAAAACTAGCATGGCAGAAGCTGATGGCACTCCACCTGACATATGGGATGTGTTCTGATGTCAGCTAAATTTATGCCACATGCTACAAAAGCATAGTGTAGTGTCTGCCTTTTTTGGAACACAAACAACTTGCTGACACTAAATGGAAAGTTCACTGCAGGATTTACATCATCTTTGACCTAATTGTAACAGCCTAGGACAGAACTACTCAGGCTGCTCCTTAGGACTCCAGATTTTTTGGGTGATGCCTGTATTTATTGTCCAAACACATTACCCCATATTAGGAAAATTATCACTGTAACCATTTCAGGTACTGACACAAGGAACACCCCGCTCTGCATTCTGGTAGAAAAAAACCCACACAGGTCTGCATGAATTAAAAACAAAAAACAAGGAGAGGCAGGGCCCCAAAGCAGGCAGAGTAACTGGGTAAATGTTGCCCACATGTGTCTGACATGCAGATGTTTTTATATGTCTCCACCCACATCCAGATGGGCACAGCAGGAATATATTATATGAAAAAATGTGTTGGGAGTTGTGCAGAGTCTAGAAAAAATATCAGAAGTTAAGTGTGAAAATCCTCCCGGCAGTGAAGTTTTGACCTGTCCCCATTTAACACAACAGCCCCAGATATTTGCTTTGGTAACAGAAGCGCAGCAGTAGCAGACCAAAGCATGATCAAATGGTTTGGCTGAGTTAAGCCTCAAGCAACCCCAAAATATCTCATTAACTTTCCCAATAAACTTTTCCCTGCTTCACCGCCTTTAGATTTTAACTTTCCCTGAAGCCTCAAACCTCCTATCCAGAGAGCAGTTTTGTCATCTCATGATTTTCTTTGACAGAGTATTATTTAGTTGGATCCTGCTTGTTAAGGGAAGTGCAAAGAATGAGAACTGAAGCTGGACACCGGGAACTCGCTGTCCTTGTAAACTCATAGTCTGCCAAGGAGAGAGACTGAACAAGAATCCAAGAGGCAGAATTAGTGGTGCAGCCCTACTTTACCAAGAAATAAGAAAACAGATCAAAGTGAAATCATGTTGGGGGAAGGGGAGGAGGAGAAGCTGAGATCTTATAAAACCTGCCAACTTTGAGACAATAAGTGAGCAAAACCAGCACCAGTTGGAAAGAGACTCAGGCAAGCCAGTCTCCTTATACTAACTCCTTGGTGCTCCCAGGCATAAAAGCAAAGATATCCACATCAGCAGTATGACATGTTTATTTAGATGAGTTAACTGCAAAAACACTTGCCAAGTTCTTTGCAGGCTGTGCCAAGTGTATGTCAGAACCCAACAGACTGATCTTACAGCAACAATTGTAGAGAATCACAATATTGCTGTCTCTCTCTCTTAACAGCAGTTGAATAAATAACCATATTTTTTCCGGGAAAGATTAGATGTCAATTCGTTTTCTTTTCCTGCTTGAACAGGAGTAGCAACGAAACTTAGTGTCACTTTTGGAGGAAGTCTCCCACCTCCCACAGTCCCTTTCACAAGTAACCAACCTTTCCACTCTGCCCCAGAACAAGCCACAAAGAGAAAAAGGTTATTAAAATGACCTTTCATTTCAATTTACTGAATTCAAATTCAAATTTTTACATCAATAAAATTATCCAACACTAAATTATCAAACACAGATTTTTAAATGGAAAAATTTTCCATTTGTCCAAAGATACCTCAGCAATAGCCAGTGACTTAAAGGAAGTAAAGTTAAAGCATCTATCAGTTTATGAGGTTGAGTTATAAATTAATTACATTGCCTAAGTCACAGGACATATACCGAACATGTTGGGGTTTTTTTTTTTCTTCTCCTGAAGATGTTCTCTCACACTGAAAAATATTTTTGTGGCATTAGAAGAAATAATAAAAAAAAAAAAAGGAAAAAAATGGAAGAGACAGAGCAAAGAAATTGATTCTCCTCAACAGTATAAAAGAGTTCCAGTGCCTGCTTCTGGAATGACTAAATTCTTCTGCCACTACTTGGTTTCTTCTAAAAATGGATTATTTAAATTTTCAAGCGTTTGATATCAGATATACACCATGAATACTACAAAATGCTACAAAAGAAACATTGAAGGCAGCCCCTTTTACATATACCTGTCAGCTGTTCTTCACAAAATTGGATCCACTCTAGAGAAAGTTAATTTTATGCTATGTATGAAAGCTGGTAGATGTTTGAAGTCACTGTGAGAGACACTGGAAGCCCCACAGCACTCTGAGCAAGAGTCTCACAAGCCTCTGAAAAACCCAGAGCCCTGTTAGATCCAGCACGACACTTCTGTGCTGCAAGGGACACAGAAAGCAAAGGCTGCTGTAGAAGTACCACCTAGAAAAGGCTCTGACACCCTCCAGGGTGAAAGCTTGTATTACAAGCGGAGACATCACTAAGAATACTGCAAAAGAAATGTATTATTTGGCAAACGCTTCTAGAGTTTAGAGGTACATCCTATTTTAAATGCACATGGTAATGAACACTGTTGGATACCACTGTGAAGTTCTATTGACAAACGCGGTCACTCAAAGGGGAAAACTGTAAGGAATTCTTCTTCTATTTCAGAGGCAGCAGATGCATTGTGTGTTGGCACGACTGGTATTGGAACTGCAGTATACATAGAAGTCACATAAAACCCACAGTAAGGTCCAGATCATATGTTAATGTTGCTGTAATCCACGTACCAGTCTTCTGCCAAATGTGTCACATTTTCCCCTATCATGGAGCTATTTTGCTCACTGGGCCATATCCCGCATTTTTAAGTCACACACATTTTAGGCATTTAAGAGAGCAACAACCACTCACAGAGAAAGCAAGCTAATTGCAATAACATACCCATTCTATATAAAATTGTTCTGTTCGTAAAACTTAAGATTACAATATTTCTTTGTTAATGAGACATGGGCAAAGCTGGCAAGCCTCAAATACTATAACTTGCCTTTTATACCAACTGTGTGAAGTCAATAGCACAACACTAAAAATAAATATATCTATTTTCCCAGTAAAAGGATATTAACAATCAATTCACTCAATCACAACACACACTCATTAACCTTGTATACTCATGTTTACCACTCTGAGTGACTGGAGCTCAGAACAACTGGTTCCAAGTTATTGAGTCTGGAATTGTTTCCAAAAGTTATGATGTTAAGCCATTAGTACCATCTACAAGGGCCTTATAACCAGGCATGCAGGGCACGTTGTACACGTACCACGTCTGAGCCAGGAGAAGTCCCATACCTGCTTCTGACTGCCCAAAGCCTTTCAGCTGAGGCAGAAAGGGTGGTGGATAAAGAGACTAAGCAGAAGGAGAGAAAAGCCTGGGTAGGACTGGGTGGAACTCGGCAGGGTGCCCAGCTGAATGAATATCAGCTGGCTAGAACTAAAACTAGGAAAAATTAAAAATGATGGTACTCAAGAGAAGAGTACTGAAGAACGATGACACTGCCCTCCCTCATGCATTTCTGTTCTTCGTTTATTAAGGCAGCATAAAGTACTGGGATCTTATGCTCGTCCACACACAAAAAATAGCTAGAACTGCCTGTCTTTGCCTCAAGGTTATAGGGAGTCTAGGTCACCTGATGCAGGTCAGGTCAGCCCATAAAGATGCAACATCACCTGACAGGGTGCTAAGCCCAGCGATGAAAACAAGAAGTTTCATCTGGTTCTACGTGAAGTGTTACCCATCTGCCAACCGATTCCGTTCTGATTGTTTCTGATGCAATTTTCAGGCTCACATGAATATCGAGCTTAAGTGCCTGGATCCTAAAAGCCTGAGAATGCCTTTTCCATCAAGGGACTTCCCAGATGCAGGCAAGTTAGCCAAGAGTTTTGCAGCTGTAAGAGCCTTGTTTGTTATCTTTAATGTTTTTATCAGAGGCAGGTCCTCCACCACAGAACTCAAATCTACAGATTACTGATGTATCATAGGAATTCTCAGGAATTTAAGATTCAGCACTTACTTTGTTGAGAGGTAAGGAATTTACCTTGTTGAAAAGACTTTACTACTGTAGGCATATTCATTGCATGGACTAGGAACTTCTTAATGGAATGAAGAAGTGAGAGTAACACATACAACAGACAAAGACCCACACCTGCCATTCTGGCCTGGATCCCATGAGATACAAGACTCGGAAGGAGTAAAATGAAACCAAAGCCTATGTAATTTCATCACACCATGACAAACATACTAGAGGTTAGAAAGCTGTAACTAGTTTCACTAATTTTTACATGCACAAATAGAAGAGTGAGTGAACCTTAGTGCCCTTTTATTTATATATAAAAATAGCAATGACTAAGGCAGTCAGGAAGTTCTGTGTGCAAGAGAGTTATTTACAATCCACTTGGCAGCACTTGCAGATACGTCTGAAGTAAACTGATATATGAAGATGAAAAACAACCAAAAAGTGCTCACTTAACGTGCAAAGCGTCTCACAACAAAGGTCACATTTAGATTTACGCTATAAACATACCTGGCATATTCCACTGATGCACATATCCAATGATTCAACATTGCAACGAGTACCATCTAGTACTTTTGGAGCAAGCTCCACAATCAAGTTCTTTCCCAGAGCTTGACATTTCAGGGCACATGGTGCAGTAGGATCATTATACACAGGGATCCACTCATAAAAATGTCCCTGGTATTTGACATCATTGTAGGCTGAACACTGTTGTGCTCTGAAGTCACCAACATCTGAAGGGCAGTCCTAAAAACAAACCAAAGGAAATATTTTTTTAAGGAGGGAATACTTTGTATTTGCAATAAAGTTACCTGATGAATTACACAGAATCTATTCAGGGAGGCTTGATTCAAGAACTGATCTGCTGTGACAAATATGCAAAGTTTTACTGTGTGTATTAAAACAATTTATGTTGCTTAATCCATTGCTTGCAGTGCAAGTAACAGAACATCATGCATATTCTAGTAATAAAAACATAGCTGATATGAGAAGATAATTAAAAATGTTACTTTTTATGACACTATGTAGTACGTTTAAAGTCTGGTTCTGTAATAAGAATTAGCTTTTAAAGGAATCTATATATTTCAAGCAGCTATAACAAGATGTCTGACATGTAGTATTTCTCTTCTCAATAGTTTTTTCCACTTAAGGATTTCTGAGCACTCTGGACTCATTCATCAATTCATATGTCAGAGTAACAAAAAAGGTATGCTTATATACAAAGGAATAAAAATTTGTCTAATGAATTGGGCAGTATTGCTCAGAAAGGGGACAAGAGCATTAGGAGGCCACACCAAAACTTTCAGTGCTCAGTCCTTTAGTCTAATTATAAAACATCTTTGCCTCATGGAAGCAGTAGAGCTTACTCTGTTGCAATAAAACATACTTCACATGGGGAACTACTGATTATATAGTTCCAGTTCTAATGAGACAGTTCTGTACCTCCTCCCATACAGAGCCTCAGCATATACAGCTGAAAGACCAAATATGAGAACTGTTTGAAATAAAATACTCTAAAATATTTTTTCTACATAAAGTGTTGCACCCAAACGATGATGTTAATATTAAACTACGGTGACAGGAATGGAGATGAATACTGATTTATTCAAAAATAACTTTGGTAAAGTACTGACAAAGGAGTTATAGTGTGTCAAACAATCTCCCACTAAAGACTTCATTTGAAAGTATGTCCAGTGTCAAACAGTCCATACGCCAGACTGAAAGGATATTCTTCCAAGAATTCCAACTGCACATATAAGCCAGATGTGAGGCTGATTTTAACAAAGTTTTGTTTTCATTGGATATAAGAGTGAAAGATTGTGATGTGTCAGCTGAACTCATGGAACTTATTACTAAGTATTAGTTAACAATACTAATGCTGAACACAGCTTCAGCCTTATCAATGAAGTGAACCTTCCCTGAAAAAAAGCTAACGAAATAGTATGTGCATTACACAGTACTGGAGCTTAAAACGTGCATGAGAAAGGTTCGAATTCCAGTCCGATGCCCTCAGCAATGTTGTCCTGACACCATTTTGCTCATCTGGATGAGTTGGCACTGCATTAGCTTAAGACTTTGTCAAATCCTTAGATTCTTTTCACCATAGGAAACAGTAACTTAGAACTGTCTCTGGTATTTGTAGTGTGCATAAAATACCTTCTAAAATCAGTATTCTCTCTACCGATCAACACATGGGGTTTTTGCAACTGAGCACCAAACAATTCACTGAGCAATCCTAGCAACACTTTTCAGCTCTGTCCAGTGCTACACCTTACAGTGAGCATAACTCAGAATGATGCTAATACATTTTGTATTATTTTTAATCTGGGATAATTCAAGTTTGAGCGATATTTTTTTGAACTATAAAATGATGGAATAAGACAAGGAGAGATTACAGTTACTGTAATTCTTTGAGAGTTTTAAAACTATAAAATGATGGAATAAGACAAGGAGAAATTACAGTTACTGTAATTCTTTGAGAGTTTTACCTCCGCAAAATCCCACAAGTGAGAGCTTCTAAAAGCTTCAAGCAAATACTGCTAGAAACCACCCTTGCTTCTAGAAGCTTCAAGCAAATACTGCTAGAAACCACCCTTATTTACTGCAGTGTCACTCTCGAGAAAGTCACCAAGTTTGCACTGGTGCAAATAAGAGCAGAATTTGGCTCTGACTTATCTGTCACCTCTCATTTTCCACAATAGCAAGTCTAAAAAGCAGAGAGGACTTCAGAGTTCATATGGATACCATATGGTTCCCTTCCACCGGTGCAAATAGAGGAGTAGCTAAGGATAAAAATAATAAGTGGAAGTTAGGTTCAGGTAAAGTTAGAAGCAATATTTTGGAGTAGTGTTATTCAACCATGCACAGCCACATTTTCATCACAAGGCATAAAAGAGCTTTCCGTAAAATAGGCAGAGCCATGGCCTCAGGCGGAGTTTTGACAGGCTGTTGTTACAATTCATTATCACTTGGTGTTGATGCAATGCCAAGACACAAACACCACAATGTCAGGATGTCAGTCCATGGTTACTGTGTGTTTCTCATTGATTCAGCACAACGCAGCTCCTTCCTTCCACTCGCTCCCTGGCTGCTTGAGACCAAGTGAATTCTCATCTCCCTATTCTGTTTTGGCATCTTCAAAGAACACAAAGCGTTCCTGGCAGTTCGATTCATATGCCAGCTCCACCTGCTTTAGGTTTGAGCTGTGTTCAAAAGGAGGAGCATAAAGAGAGCATCACAAAGGGATATCAAAGGGATGAAATTAGTATCATTTGCATTATATCAGCATTTGGATGGCAACCAAGATCAGATCCCTGTTTTCCTGGGAACTATAAATATTTGTGTAAAGAAAGGAGTTTATAATCTAAACAAAAAGACAACTAAGCACAGAAGAGAATGTAATCAAGGCAACAAGAAGACTTGTAAACTTCAGGTTAATTCCATTACAGTGGGTCAGAAAGGTGAGAGGGAGTTTAAAAAAATAGAAAAGGGAGAGGCAGGCAAGGGTGAAGCATGTTCGGCAAGTGGGCAAGGCCCCAGTCAGACAACGATACAGCGGCCCCAGTCCTCATCCTGGTTGCGTGTCCTTCTGGTTTTAAGCTATTTCAAGCATCAGTTTATTCTGTCATTCCCTCTTCCCTCTCAATATTCCACATTTTCTTATTTGTTAAATATTTTTGCTACTAATTCAGGATTTTTCAGATTTCCTAACTTCAGCAATAGCTTTTGTCTTACACTCATATAACATATCTAGGTTGTTCATAGGTTCATACACTACATAAGAAGCTGAAGACATATCTATGAGGTCTAATACATGAAAATGCTGGCAAAATAATCGCAACCAGATCTTGTAGTGGAATGACGTGTATTTATGACATGACTTATGAACAGATTATTAGACAGATCTGAAAAAGATGCGTCAGACACGACTGCCATGCAGGTTAAAAATACATATCTATATAGTTGCATTCTTTTTGCGATAGATGATTAAAAACTACTGCATTCAAGGGCTGGCTTCTTATGAAATGTATCATTTGAGTTTTGGCAGTGAGCACTTTCAGCCTTTGAAAACAAAGCTAACCTGGGAAATCTGTATCTTTGTAGGCAACGTTCATGTACAAAATATGAAGGTTGCATCAGACCCTGTGACTCCTGCCAACAATTACTCCGCTGAAAAAAGCACAAAAGAGAAGGCAAGAAAATTCCCAGTAAAAATGATGACACCAAAGAAAGTCTAGCCCTTTGTCTAGTTTTATTCTTTGAATCTCATTTTGTTGAAACCTAGCCAAAACCAATGAAGTCATTGTTTTGTTTTCTTTTTCAAATTAGCTTCAGGTTCTATGTTTTTCCTATGCAATTTTCAGGCCACTTCTCAGTAAAATCAAGATACTTGAGCTAGAAGCCCTAGCCACAAGAGCCTTAGGGTGCATCAGCATTATAAAAATAAAATTAAAAAGTGAACAGATTAGAGAGAAACTATGCAAATCAAGGTGAAATATTACGGGGCTAAAGTAGACAGAGTTCAGACAAGATTTTCTGAATGGGATAAATGAGCTGGTTAATAAGTGGATGCTGGGACACTGATCTGATGAATATGTTGAACAGGTGTGAGCATTATCTGCATATAATAAAAGTTTATAATGGAATTAAACATGGGCAAATCTGTTACAAAACAGTATTTTTTCTTACTGTAGAAAAGTCACTCTGGCAAATGTATAAGTGACTTTTTGGCACATAAGAATGTGAAATTTATGGGGAAATGGCCCAAATAACTTGTTCTATGAATAGGACCCTAAAGGATTATCTTAAACACTTCCATATAGTGCACATCATAGCATTAGAATGTAACAGTATATACAAAAATGGAAATATAAAAAAGGGGGGTTAAAGACTGAAAATCTCATTGAACAGCATATAATGAATAGTTTATATACTTTATTTCTCTAAAGTTTCTATAAGAAAAGCTGAAAGCATACATGCCATTTTAGGAAATCATGCACCTGGCATCTCAGTTATGATAGAAAGATAAGTAGGCTAGACATACGCCTTAATAATCTCAGCAATTATTTTGTTGCTAAGGCCTTGAATTAATTTTTTGATTGAAATATCACTAATATTATTCTGGAACTATGCTTGAGTTCAATGAACTTACTACTATTCTATTACAAATCCAGATGAAACCAATTTTCTGGTAAAATGATTCTTGTTCTTTTCATTAGAATGACACACATACTAAGTTGTGCTTCATTTGTACTCCCCAATATAGATGTTAGTGCTGTAATGTATCATGTAGCAAAATTACATTTGCAGACAATTTTACACAGTGTACATATACTGAATGTCTCATGTGGTTAACAATAATACCTACTAATATGGAAAGAAGCTAGTTTAAACTCTTAATTTTCAAACTAAAATTTTACTCTTAAAATGAGAAGCATTCATTAGAAACAACGCTTTGGGGAAAATTATAGCATTTGAAACAAAAACTGGCCTAGTAGTCTCAGGCTCACATCAGGTGTAGGCTCCCATTTCAAGGTTAAGTCAGGTCTAATACTGGGTTTGAATTCAGTAAGGCCAAATTCAAAGATCAACTGTATTAACAGTAGAAATCTCATGAAATATATTTTTCCCAGGAGTTCTCCATTATCTGGGCCATAATCTAGGGAAAAACATTCCTGAGAAATTCTGGCTGTATCTGAACTGAAATGGAAACCCGACCCCTTTCAGACATGCCCCAAAAGCAGAACTGTAAAGGCAGCTTCCTGTCTGGAAATTAACATTTGAATCATCATAAATTCAAACAGCTTCACATACAGCATGCTTGCCACTTATCGCTTTAAAGTAAGTCCTGAAGTTAACACACAGGCCCCACTGGCTTCAGAAGATCTCCCTGGGAGTTCAGAAAGGATACGGTAATCATCTTAATTTTCCCTATGCTGAAGCATAGAGCACCTTCATTTCCACGATTTTTACTGCATGATCCTTAAAATGAACAGCGTCCACAATTGCTCTTACGTATCCTAAAAGCAAAAAACATGCCCAAATTGATCTCATCTTTCTCCTTTTTCTGTATACGGGTTCCTTTCGCTGGGGGAACGAGGTGTGCGGCATGTTGACTTGCTCGTGCTGTTGCGCAGGAAGCTGTAGCACACGGGGCCAAGCGGTCAGGGGTACGTCACCGTATACAACGCACACAACTAGACATCTAGATAAGGAATGTAGCAAACAGATTTTACAGTGGCAGTTTGTTTGTTGCTTACGTACCGGCTGGCTGCAATTTAGCTTATCACACAGCTTTAAAAGATTACGATACTTTTTGCTGGGGCGCTTATATTCATGAGCGAAGGACGCCTCGCACAGAACTGCCGGGCCTTTCCTTACGCACGGGCCCAGCGACTGTGGCGTGCGCTGGGCCCGATGCATTCAGCGCTTCCACTGGCTCCTGCCAGCGCAAGCCTAGGCCGTGAGCCGCTGCGGCGGAAAAGCCGCCCGGCACGGAGGCGCGGAGCGTGAGCGCAACTCGAGGTGCTAGCGAGCCCTGCGCTGGAGGAGGGCCGGAGCAGGCGCAAGGAGCCGTAGGTGCGGCCAGCGGAAGGGTGGGAATGGCCAGTTCTCCCAGGAGATACACCGATTCAACGTGTTTACTGGGCAACTGCCAGTGCCAGGCCTCCTAAGGAGAACATGTGCTGCTGGCAGAAATCTCAGCGTTGGCAATGGCGTGAGTATCACCTGCGCGCGCCTGGGTATAACTCAGCCCAAGGGAACTGCAGGCCTCACCTTTTAAGTGGCGTTTGTGTGAAAATTGCTGCCTGTCTCCCAGAGCCGGAAGCGGATTAATCAAACGCACCACAGTTAAAAAATAAATAAATTTTAAAAAGATGCTTTTGTTTTGATTGATTATCTACATTGTCTCTTTTCTGGAATGGGATTATATGAATGTCACATTGCAGTGTAAGGTAACCCATGCAAGGGGGTGACTGCTGACCATAAACCATCCTGAATTACTGTGTTTGTACACATGGTCTGTTGATCAGCAGTCTTGCAAAGTCCTGCATGAGCTGCACACCTTGAACAGACTACAACATCTGGGGTGAAAGGCAGCAGCTGTTTAAACAGCACAAAGCATCTCTACAAATCAGTTGAGCACGAGTGATGAAGTATGCTGTATTTGACTGGTTTTCATAAAACGTGTCTGTAAAAATAAAACGTGATTGCATCACAGTAACAGCAACTATATAGCCAAAACTCCAGCTTTCCATTCAGTCACGGAAATTGTCTATGCCAGCGTACCTAACTATACGTGCTTTCGTATACAGACATATAAAGATCTGGGCTTAGGCAAAAAGAGGGAATATAAGGAGTAATTATCCCATTTAAGATTTGAAAGGGACGCAGGCAGTTAACCTCTTTGCTCTTGTGAAGACTTCCACGGTATCACTAATGATCACAAATGATCAGGAGCTCAGTTTAATGTTTCATCTGAAAGACAGCACCCCCAGGAAAAGAACTTGTTAGTTTAAGATGAGAACTGATTTGTTAATCCTCCAAAACATGTAACTTTCATAATAAATGATATAAAACATTCTGAATCACAATTGGCACTATAATTTCAAAAGAAAATGTCCATTTGGGAAGCCTAAATTTGAGACCTTGCCGTGTCATGCAGACTGAAATCTTTAAAAATCGTAATAATGACGGAAAGAAAATTATGCACCATAAGGTTTTAAACAAGAAGCAGCATTTCTTAAAACTTTAACACATTGTTTGAATAGGTAAAATAGGATTAAAGGCCAGACTCACATTACTACTGCAGGTTTTGTATCGAATATTCCGACCTTCACAGTTCCTGAAAAACAGAGTAAAAATGGTTACACTGCATAACAGCAGCACACAATCCTGCCTGTTTTACTGCTAGTTATTCTCTTGAAAATTAAACTTTTATTGCTACTGCCCCACCATAATTTGGACTCAAAATATAAAGTTTAAATACAAAGGGGATCTGGGGACTCAACAGGTTACACTGCTGTGTCTCTTCAGCAAAGAACGTGTGGCTTTCCCTCTAAGCCCAATTTACTGCAAACCTCCTGAAAAACACATTTATTTGGTGAAAAAGGTTTCACAAGGCATCCCTAAACTGAATCTATGCTGACTGCAGCAAAGCTACTTCTCATCCACAGGATGTAACCCAGAGGAAAAGAGAATCAGAATATCTAAAAAATCCTTTAATCAAGCATAGGGCTAACGAGCATTGATTTTTCTATCTCCTGTTTTGTTTAGGAAAGAAAAAACAGCCTAAAACCTTTCCTTTCTCCCCAAAACTAATGCAATACTTTTGAAGAACAGCATGTAATTTTACTGACCCAAATCAACATGAGCAGAATTCGTAATTCTAAATGAAATATAATTCCCGTGGATTGCATGCATTTCTAAGGTGCCCACTGCATATGAATCCTGAAATCCAGGCAACTGATCCTCAACAAAGTCTGTTGTTAGTAGCTGAAATAACGGGTGTATAATGAAGTCACGATTATTTATTGTGGTCTCATAAACATGAGGGTGTGTGGGTTTCACACTTTAAGGACACATTTCGCCAAACTTCTCAACAACTGACTGGCACTTTTGCACAGGGTAAGATCTTCTTCTTAAGAATGGCAAAATCAAGGCCTTGAAAGAACTGAAAACATATTTCAAATGACTTGAGAGGAAATTATAATTAGTGATGTCTCTAAAATCAGGAATAGTGTTTTGGAATAATGCCTTCATACCAAAAAGACCTGCCTTTACATTAAAGAACGCATAAATGTATAGCTGGTAATTTACAGCTCTTGGACTAAATTTTCCACTTTTTGAATGAAAATTGATTGTAAATATTAAAAAATTCTTTAATATGTGTGAGGGATTAGAAACACACCATTTGAAAAGGGAAAAGCAAGGGATGCCTGGAGCAAGAGTTCAACCAGCTCAGCTGAAGGTACAACTCTCCAAGCTCAAGATATTACATGTCTCAAATTTCCAGTCTTTTGCAAGAATGATTGCATCACAACGTGCAAGTTAAAAATGTTTATGATACATACAAATGTGAAAACTTTGTTTCACAATTGCGCATTTCCTGGACATTATAACAACAATAAAACACAGAAAAAAAACTTTTAAACTACACATTTGTCAAGGTATTGAAAACACATGTTTTTCACAGGGGAACACATTAAAAATATTAATAAAACCACAGTGGAATTTATATTGCTACAATTTATTGAGCTCATTTCACAGTCCCTAACACACTGGTAGAATAGCATGGCTTCTTGCTGGAAATATTACTTTTCTCAAAGATCTTTGTGCCTTTTGCACTAAAAGAAACAGGCAGTGTTTTAATCAACCATCTTTAACTATGTATTTCATACAGTTTGCACTTAACTAGCATATGACACTACAAGCCACGGCTATGAAAAATTGACTTCCTGGATGATATTGCATTTAGCTTAAAAAAATCACAACAAAATAGAAATTTAAACATAAACAGCAGTTTTTAAAACGTTTAAGAATCATTCAAGTAAAGCAAGCAATTATGGACGCCAGCACAGATGCTCCTAAGCTGGTTGGGGATCTCTTCTCACCCGACTACAGGCATTACTCATACTCTCAGGACTGTAGCAACAAGTCCTACACTAGTCCAGCTTTACTACTGAGGTAAATTGTTTTCACCGCATACGCCGTTCTCTTCAAGCTACACTAAGGCGTAGCCACAAAAACATATGGCTACCAGGACCACTGCATCGAAAGAGCTGGCAGAGGAAAAGTTTCCTAACAGAAAGCAGCATTTGATACCTCTGTATGTGGAGTCACTTTTTTTTTTTACTACAGAGAAGACATGAAGGAGCCTGCACTTGAACATTATTTCAACTAATGTTCAAGTACAGGCTAATTTGTATGCAGGTAACTCACCATTCGCGTTATATTATGGGGACAGGGACTTCTCTCAATATTTGACCATACTAAATAAAACTTGTTATCCCACAAACATATTTAACAACAAGCTAAGGTTCTGTCAGAGCTGAAGGTTAAGATATTTATCTAATAGATTGCAAAAACATATCCAAAGCAGGATTTCATAACACTTGATCTGTACACAGCACTTGGTTCCGGAAACAGAATCAACAATGCTTCTCTACAGACACCAACAGCGGACAGGGAGATGTTGCAGAGCTGCAGAAGAACAAATACACCTAAGCACGTCACTTACCTGCCATTTAAACATCTCCTCAGTGAGTAAGAGGCTCCTCCGCCACAGGTCCGTGAGCAATCACTCCAAGCCCCCCAGGCGTCCCAGGAGCCTTCCTTATCTTCATCAGAACGGGCAATTCTGGAGGTCTGAAAAAAATGGAGGATGGAGGGAAGAAAAAGAAAGTATTAATTGATTTGGTACATGTTTTACTGCTTGGCACTAATAGTACTGAGTATATTACTTTGCTGCTTATTTACAGTGTCTTAAATTTATTTACTATTTCTATATATAATTACACGGGAAAGCAAGCAGAATCTTTGAATTTGACTATGTCCAAATACGCTGTCATTCCCAACACACTTCTGTCCAACACCCTGTGGAGGAACTACACAACTGGTCTCAAGGGGCTAGACTAGGCATCATGTTCTGAGCGGGCTGCTGGGCTTTCCAAAATCCTGACCAAAGGAGTTTCATATCCAGGTCTAATGAGAGGACTAAAATCTCTTTATGTCCTCAAGTGTGCCTGCACTCAGTAAGTAGTACAGAAATTAAGCACCTCAAACCTTTCATAAAGTACATACCCAGCATTGCAGTCAGGAAAAAAAAACCAAGAATACGGCTTCATTACAAAAAGTGCTAATAATTTGAAAGAAATTGGGGAAAAAGGCTTAAAGAGTCATTTTTAGGCTACAGCAATTAAACTCTGATTTAAGCTTAAATTCACTTACACAGGCTTCAAAAACACTATTAACAGACACCATAAATATAAAAACTAAAGATTTGTGACAAAAACCAAAATTCTGCTTGACCCCTTTAAAATGTTTTTGTTTTTTGTTTTTTGTTTTTTTTTTTTTACTTGCATTAAGAAAATTGACATTTCCCAGAGAAAATTCTCAAAACATTTAAACATTTTAAACATGGTAGCTTAACACAGTAGTTCAATATTAAAAAGTAGTATGAATCAAATTATTTTTAAAAGTCCTGTTTTCAGAAAATACTTTTTGGTTTACGATTTTCTGCATGAAGAAAGCATAGGAAAATCAAATCCAGGATTTCCCCAAGCATTTCTTTGACTTCGCTACAATTGTTCAGCAGCTCTTCCATTTACATCCTACTTTCTTTCCTCTGTCCCTGCAACCTTTAAAATTTCTCTCTTGAAAGGACATGCGCAGGTTTTTATAACAAAGCGTCAAACATAACGATCCCCTGAGAGTTGTCAGACATACGATGGGCCTGCTATCATAAAGAAATAAAGATCTTTAGAACCCTAAATTACACCCAAACTGAGATGAAAACACACATTTCTCCAATCACCACGGTGATAGAGTTTGCACATGAACTACTGCAAACATAATAATGTAATGGCTATTAACGTCATTATGAATGACAGTCATATCGTGGATAAAAATGAGGCAATGAGTCATTTGCGTCAGGTGAGAGAGAATAGGGACTGATATTTACTCTGCCCCAATGGAATTGCAAATGAGAGAACATGAAGAATTCATCCAAGCTTTACTAAAACAATTATTTATACAGCCGATTTTTTACTCCCATTGACTTCAGAGGGCATCCAAGCAGACCTCAGACAGATAAACAAAGGCACTATATTCACATTACTATTTTATTTTTGACAGCACAGAAAGGCACAACTTAATCAGATGGTGTTTCAGAATCTGCTCTCCCCCTCCCAAAAAGGAAGCGCACAAACACCAAAGGACTACCGGTCAGTAAACAAGGCAAAGAGAGAAAAACGTTACTAAATAAACTGCATCCAAGTAAACATTCAAGTCTTCATAAGTGGAAAAAAAAAAAAAAAAAAAAAAAAAGCTTAAAATCCTAAAAAGATTTTCTTGAGTGACTAGATCCAGAGAAGCGCAAGATTAGTATACATCCTAAACCAAATGAACACACTTCAGTGATCCATATTTTCTCTAAGAAATAACTTCAGTAAGCTCATGAGAACAAGACTCAGTCCTATTTTCTTCCCAAATGCCTCACAAAAGTGATTTACAAGTGAAGGACATGTAATTCAAATCTTCCGATACGAGTGGAAAAACAAAAAATTACACAATTCTCCTTAAATTCAACAGTACAAATAAAGTCAACTCATCTTCAGCCATGAAGAAAGTTGACTCAGATACAATCCTACCAAGCTTGAAGTGAAAATGGCAAACAATAAAAACAAAGCTGTTTTCAAAATAGCACCATACAAGGAACATGACTCAATACCATGCTGTGTATGCAAAGGGATTTTCTCCTAATTATTATAGTAAAAAAAAAAGCCACACGTGTCACAGAACTTGAGCAAACTGTCACGTTTTTGTGAATGAGTTGTTACACCTAGGATGCATTCACACCACAGTTGGAAGTATAGCTATTGAACTAGCATGATTTTAGAAACCCAAATGGCAAATAGTTAAACTTAGGTACACTTCAACAGAACTAAGGACTACTCAAACACATTTTAAAGGCGTTAATAGTAGGCAGATTTATAATAATAGCACTAATCCCCACAGTTAAGCAGCTAACAGAAAAATCAGCAATTTCCAAACTTCCATTCCTTCCTCAAAAAACTTGAGCTTGTAAAAAAAATTTTTTTTAATTAGAGGATAAGCTATCTCCATTTGGACAGTAAACTGCAGAAGCTGGTCTAAACACATCAGTGGCTCCTTAACTTACTTCTTCCCTAAGTTTACAAATTTTACAAACACTTTCTGTAAAGCTTTAAAAGTGTACTTTGGCCAATCTGCCGTTCCAGAAATGATAGAGCCCAGCTCTGCCAAGATCCCCGAGGAATTTTTGCACTGGCGTGGGGTTTACTTTACATCAGAAGCCAACTCTGAAATGTCTGACACTGAAAATGGAACCAACTGCCTTCAATCTTGAGCAAAAAGAGCTCAGCACTTCCCAACAAATCACTCGGCACATGAAAATAAGTCAAGACGAACAAGAGTCACTTCTTTCAAATTTATGAGTGCAAAATTAAAGTTTGCCCTCTGTAATCCCAAGGCAAATGATTGTTTTTTAATATGTTGAGAAATTATTAAACTTATGAAATGAAAAAGCAATACATGCCACTCTCTCTTTTAGAATAGCTAGTTTCTTTTGACAAAGCAGTGACAATGCCTAAAATAATCCTAACTTCATCATTGTATTAAAACCAGCCACATGATATTAACAGACAGAATGTCATCTAAAGCCCTAAACAATGTCCAGTTGTTCACTTACCAAACTGCTTTGATAGCAGCCATTGTTCTGAACTGTATCTAATTAAAAAGCTGTAAATACCAGGATGATCAAAGCAGAAGTTTATGCCAACAAAGCCTTCTTCAGAATCATTGACTAATTCAGCACCCACAGTGTTGATTTAAACTCCAGCTAGTTCAAACTCTTTGTCCCATGGGAAAGA